TTTTGTTAAGTGGATCAACTTCTTTTGTCATAAATTCATCTTTCTACTTCTAAAGTTCTATACTAGTGTGCAGGTGGTGTAATGGATAGCGGCACGGATGAGTAATCAGAGACCAGAGTTCGAATATTCGTTCGTCTTCCTTGCTTTCACTAACGCGCAAATACTTAATCTCCACCTCCCCCATAAAACGGGTTAAACAGTAGGACTTGTATATGGAAAAATCACTATTATTCTAAAAAATATTAATGCAATGACTCGCAAAAGAATCAATCCAAAATATGTTTCAGGTTTGAATAACACACATAAGGTTGATAAGCCGTAAAAAAACAAATCGATTTAAAGTTCTGTAATTTGACTAAAAGAAGGGAAGTAAATAAGCGAGGTAGTCACCCGTTCGAATTCATCTGGTTACCTGAGAAAATCTTTAATTTAAAACGAGAAGGCTCTAGAAAAACAACAACAAAAAAAGACATTGTTTTTCCCTTTTCTTCAATTAGTAACAGGAGAATCAAATTTCCGATTACCCAGTTTTCAGAAAAGAAAAGGATAAACATTATTTTCATCTGCTATAGTTTTAGTTTGTCTCTTACAAGTGTATTTATATCTATTTATCTATTTTTATTTTTTAATTCTTCGTCTTTCGAACTTAAGAATTAGAATGATAGGAATTATAAATAATTAATTATAATATTTTAGGCAATAAAAATTAAATAAACAAGTCTTAAAACAATTTTAAATCATGACCAACGAGAACCCGAACTTCATAACGGTTAGTCTATATCCAGCACCTGAAGACAGCAAATTCGCATGAAACTCAGTCATGCTATGGACGTTGTATATTATGTATATTCGCTGTTACCTTACATAACAGTGAGCACTGTATTTAGAACACCTGAGAAAGAAATACATGAATACGTGCAAGTTCATGTGCGTATATGTATGTTTTTATCATACTCATATCTATCTATCTATCTATCTATCTATCTATCTATCTATCTTAGTCTATTCATATCTATTTCAAATAAGTAAAAGTGGCAACGCTTAATTTAGGCTTAACCATCGATTACTGGAGGTCATAAGAACTTCCTTAATCAGTAAACAGACCTCCATATATATATTTAGTCAAAAAGTATTACGCCAAACTACGAGTTTGTCATTGTCTCTGAAAAATAAATGATCCTTTTGTGATCCCTATCAAAAAGGCTGTTAGCGTCTGCTGGGCTGGTATTGGTGGTATTAGATATCACAGTTGTCATTCGGATTAAGTGACACAGTACAATTTTTATCTGAAGCTAAGATTAGGATTAGGCGTATCTCCAGGTGTGTCAAGTATGAGAGTTGACAAGCGATGCAAGACATACTTTTTCCCGTTGTTGCTTTCCTGCCTTTCTCTTTTAATCAGTCTGTCTGTTTGTCTGTCTGTTTGTCTGTCTGTCTCTCTTTCTCTCTCTCTCTCCCCATTTATACACACACACACACACACACACACACACACACATACATATATATATATATATATATATATATCGGGAAAGGAGAAGAGAGTGTGTGAGAGATTCATTCATGTTCTCCAATTACTAGGTAGTGAGAGCTCATTAGAACAAGTGCCATGATGAAAATATTTATAAAAAGAACAGAACGAAGCCACCTCATGGCTGGGTTAAATCCTATGAAAGGGTGACTCTAGTTGTAACCCTGTTTTCGCGTGTGCGTTTATCTCGGGTTAAAACTAGAGTCATCCTTTCATAGGTTTTAACGCTGTTAAGCTTTTTTTTATTCGGTCTAGGTTTTGAGCAATTTACTGAGTAGGTAAGTTTGCCTTTAGGTGATATTTTTTTTTTTTTTTTGAGTATTGTCATTTTTGTTCGAAACTTTATCTGGATAAAAGTTTTAGTTTATTTTTTTTTGCAAGCTGACCGTTGGTTCCATCAACGTCTCTTTTTCTTTCTTACTTATACTTTGTTATAGTGGATAATCGTATTGTCTGTCGGCCTGCTTATTTGAGAAATCTTAATAAGAAGATAGGATCTCCGGCAGGAATCGAACGTGCGTCCTCCTTAGTAGCAGAAAGCATTATTTGATCCGGTGTGCTTCACCGCTCGGCTACGAAAAGCGTCACAGCTAAGCACTGCTTTATTTTCCCTTTTAAGGAAAGCACACCTCCTTACTAAGGTATTTTTAACGAAAGCCCCTATCTGTTCAGTTTCGTATCCGATAAATAAAAAAATGCAATTTGTAAAGAATTAATGGATTTATTTTTAATCCGACGCTTCTTTTTTTACTTAAAACGTTATTATCATGGATACTCCTGTGTGAAATAGACGCCCTATTTTCATTTTAAGCAGTGTCTGTTATTGGCATTGAGCCATAATAACGTTTGAAGTAATAAAAATACCGGACTCAAAATAAAACCATTAATTCTTTATAAATACATATATACATATATTGTGTGTATTTACGCAGCATATGTTTGATTTTGTGGCGATTAATTTTATTGATTGACTTTTTAATATTACGAACAATCTTTTTCAGGCAATATGGAAATTTCATCAGAAATTGTCCAAAGTTCATTCTGAAAGACAATATGGTCGAAACTCACCAACTGTCTCTATGTACCGCGTTAGGAAAGTTGAAAGATTGAACCATATTTTTTCCAAAATGAACTTTGGATGGACGATTTCTTACGGAATTTAATCCTTAACTGAGAACGAATATTCGCACAACCATTGACGGCTACAAATGAGTTCCATTTACCTAATTTTACTTACAAGGCTTGGGTCGACCCATGGTATGGTTTTCAGGTACTTTCCAAAGGCACGTTAGGATCATCTCCCAGAGACCGATAACATCAAGAAATCACCCTCCTGACAAATCGTCCATGTTGTGATTCGAACCTGGGTCTCATGGTCAGAACCTTTTATATTAATATTAATATATATATATATATATATATATATATATATATGAGGTGTCTATTTTCATTTGTTAAGACCGTTATTTGGTTTGAATTTCGAGAAAATAATGCATCTTGTCTTTTCTCGTCCCAATCCATCTTCAAATATCTGACCGGCAAGAGCCTCTTGGCCAGTCTGAGAACGATGTACGTATATATATATATATATATATATATATATATATATATATATATATATATATATATGAAATTATATTGTTTCGAAATGTAAATGATTATGCATTTCGACGTTTAGGCTTCATCAGATCAAAAGCGAAAAATTGTATTTTTTTAATTTAGGGTATAAGTTTCCGTTATTTAAACAAAGACAAATGCATACACACACACACACATGGAGGTAATTCTTTCACTTTTGATCTGATGAAAGTTTTGTGATGTTGGACGGCTTCGCTTGTCACTTTTGTTATGTCAAGCGAAATCTCGTTATCATTTCCAAAAATGCTCGTTATATTCAAGACCCTATAGACGCCGGTACTAGTAGTAACGCCTTCCAATAATATCCACACTAGTAATACTTGTTCAAGTAGTAATTGCCAAATAGTATAATGACCAGAAGAGAATCGTAATCCGTATAGTAAGAGAAATAGTGGTCGTATAACAATAGAGCATAGACAAGAAAGAGTGAACTGTATAGTGATAGAGGAGGAAGAGTGATCATTACGCTACTTCTTATTTATTCATTTTATTTATGATCACGTGATCTAATTAATAATGAAATTAATTGCTCACTGGCGATCTGGGTTCAAACTACAGTGTTGCCAACGGCAAAGTTTGTGTGTGTGTACTTCCAAAAGTTTAAACTGATTTTTTTAAAATGAAACATATTTCTTGAAGCTTTTATTTTAATTTTATTTTCAAGCTAATAAATTAAATCTAATATTTCAAATAAGCAAAATACATTGCTGGATTTCAAAATAAACGTAAATTGATTGACATGAGTTTTTTGTAAGTCAGTATCGTAGATCAAAATATTTGCATTTCACTAATCACAACGTAATTCTCTTTATTTAAAACATCGTTCAAAAAGAAAATATATTTTTCTGAAACTTTATTTGAGGAAAATTAGATGATTCAGAATTTAATCAATCTAACTTGAAACAAATATAAGTTAGTTTAAAATATCGCAGAAAAGCATTTTTAACACGGCGGTAGTATTTTTTTATGAGGTGTGTTAACAGCTTTATTGACAGCCTGAGGTTTTGGAAATTTAACTACTTTTTTTTTTAAATATATATATATATATATATATATATATATATATATATATATATATATATATATGTATGAATGAATAGATAGATAGATAGATAGATAGATAGATAGATAGATAGATAGATAGGTAGGTAGGTAGGATGATTGATGGGAAGAAGTTTAAGCATGTGAAGACATTTACATATGACGAAATAACAAAAATAAGAGATGTACCAAATTGAACACCAAAAATACACATTTATAAAGCAGTTTTTTTGACCTCACTGTTGTACTGCTGAAAATCATGGACCCCATATAAGCCCCATATCAATCAAATGGATGTTTTCTATAAAAGTTGTCCCCGAGCGATCTGTGGCTATACTTTTGACGATAGGTTGTCCAATGCTGATTTTCTCGCAAAATGCAACACTGTCGGAATTGAGACTTTCCTGATGCAGTCACAAATTTGCTGGGCTGGTTATGTTGCAAAGACGTATTTTACTTTCAGCCGCATTAGCTATCATCAGAATGTAGAGTTGAACTGACTCTCTAAAAGGAATAGATATGGTCACTTGCTTCCTCTGGCTTTTTCTTTCTTTCCTTCTTTCTTTCTTTCTTTCTTTCTTTCTTTCTTTTTCTATCTATCTATCTATCTATCTATCTATCTATCTATCTATCTATCTATCTATCTATCTAATTACATGTTTAATTGATTACCGCTCAATGCCGGAGTACAAATCCAAGAAGTACTCTTCATTCAGCTAACCTCATAAAACGAAATACCGTCGCCGGAGGATCTAACCTCTTTGGTGCCAGAAAGCTTAATTTATCTGTCTCACCCGACACCAAAGAAGTTCTGCAATGAACGATACGGTGTCGGTTGGGAGTGGGACGACGCGAGACAGCGGACACTCTCAATTCCTGAACACGACAGACATTTGCTGAGTTGTCCTTCGCTTTCGATTGGTGATTCCCTGAGTCAATGATGGAAATGTCGAATCACTCGCCCAGACAAATACCTTTTGACGTAAATCAGTAAAGACCGAAGTGAATGTCGATAGCAGCGCTATTGAAGGTTTGTTAATGATGGCTTCCCCAAATATGATCAGTGACGACTGTCCGAGGTGCGACTTCGAGAAGGGATTGATTAATATTAACAACATTGGTGTTGGTTGTAATAACGTGACCAGGAAAGAGAGTCATTTAAATGACTAACAATCTTTAAACCAGTTTGCTTCTAATAAATCTAATTCTTAATTTTTCCACACGCACACACACATTTTGCATAAATATATATAATAGCATATGTCGTGATATTTAAAGGATTCAGATAAAAAAAGGTTTCCATTGATTATAAGAATGAAATCATCAGAGAAACAAGATATTGCTAAATTATTGATTGAAATGTAAAAAATATATGAAAAAGCTGAATAAAACATTTATTAAAGGCATGAAAGCAAACAAATTATCACCTTTCAGTATCACAATCCTCAATAATGCTCTGCTTTGAATAATCTCAACATTCTGACTTCAATGTAGATTATGGATACAATCCATGGTGTTCTGTACTACAGGCCTGCTCAAAGTGCAACTAAAGGGCAGAACTGGAGGCTTATTTCCTTTCACTGAAAGCTGCGCATTTTATTTTTCGTTTGAGTTTGCAGTCGTTCGCTGTTGTAGTCGGTTAAAAATTAAATGAAATTTGTGCTTTTATATTTGGAATAATTTTAACTTATTTAATTGAATTAAATATAAGATTTATTTATTTTATTTCATTCCGTTTTGCTATATTATTTTATTTTTATATAAAAAAGAAACGATTTCTGTGAAATTCACTAAAAAGTGTAATTTTGGAAGCTTATTTAACATTTTCTCACTTATCAATTAATTTTTCATTTCCAGTTAATTTAATTCTCTATAAATTTTTCTTCATAAAATTACTTACACCAATGGTATACTTAATATTTTCTGTAATCAGAATTTCTGTTTTGTAAGGAAGTTAGAAATTTGATTGTATTTTTACTACAGTTCTGATATCGCAATTTAACATTATCGAAAGCAAAATAAAATAATTGAAGATCGAGACGAGGCTGTATAATTTAAAATGTTTAAAATGTACCATTTGACTTGATTTAAAGAAATAATTAATTTGTACTATTTTTCATCTTATAAATGTTGAAAAGATTCTCTCAAAAAATTTAATTTTGATAATGTTTTATTATCATTAATTTTTAACAGAGATTTTTCTTCTAACGTCTTTTTCATTGATTCTGCATTTACACTGCGAATTTATTTAAAAATGCTATTATTTGTTACAAAGTTAATTTAATATTTTTCTCTATGAGTTTGTTATTCATAACAACAACAATATTGATGATAAATCTAATATTTTTTTGAGTAATTTGTGTTTTTCTTTCTAAAGGGTAGTTTAAAATGTTTGTTGTATTTTAGTTTAGTTTCCCATTAAAAGACATAAAAAAGCACATATATTTTTATATAAAATTAATGAAAAAATAATTAATTAAGAATGAGGTTTAACATTTAACTTTTTTCGCCATATTTCTGAAATTCAAACATTTCCAAATATGCCTGCAGTTTTGAACCGTGGTTGCTCTATGAGTAGGCCTGTAGTATAGAATGCTAATCATAGAATTATTATGTTTTAATTTTTCTTCATATCTAAGAGAAACATACTTTCTTTTTTTTCGTTCTTCAGAGTGTGGTCAATTTGAACAGTTTCGATTGGCATTTTGAGGCTAAAGTAAATATACCCAATCTCCCTGGACAACTGAGCTAGGTATGTTATGCTAAATACCACTCAATAGAAGGCTCGAAAGCCACTCAAGGTTCAATCTAAATGGTAATGATGAGAGAAGTGAATGAAATGGTTGAAAGAGAAGGTGGTAGAAAATTGCACATCATGTGATAATGAGAATTGACAACAATTGACTTGAAACACCTACGTACAGAATCTTTTTAACAAAGGGACAGTTCTTGATAAAAAAAAACTGTCAGTGTTGAATTTCCTTCGTACATTTGGAACTCGGGGGAAATGAGAATGATTCGCCCCGTGGAAGTTGTGCGGCGTCTCCAAACAGTAAGGGCCGAAACAAGCAGAACTGGAAGAGAAACACCACAATCAGTCCTTCTATTTAGAAGTGAATGCAGGACAGTCATGAAAAAGATACTGGAAACAAAAAGAAATCTTGTTGCTGAGAATACCATGGAGCGAACATGTAAGCATCGACGAAGTTTTAAAGAAAACGGAATCAAAAAGGGACACTTATACGTAACGTCAGAAAGCGACAAATGCAATTTCTAGGGTACATAATGAAGAATATGATGCTTACAGGACAGATTGAAGACCAGTTCAACTGAGGAAAACAGCTCATAACCTACCTAGCGAGTTTGATTGAACAGATGACAGAGCAAGGCTTAGGAGAGATAGCAAAAAAGTAAAACGCATTAAAAACTACAAAAGACATGAATTTTTTTTAAAAATGAATTCACTCCAAGCAAGGCGGGAATGCCAATAGTAGGCAGGAGGTTACAGAGAGCGAAAGTGGGAGAAAAGGCAGGGCATGAGGGCGGGGGGGTGTTAAGGAAAGTATAAATGATGAACGGGGTTCAAAAGAATTGAAGATGGCGATTGACGTTGCATTTAAATTTTTGAAAATTGTAGTTTTCAGGGAAGCAAGTTAACGGGGTAAGGGGAGTTCCACAGTCGGGGTGTGAGAGAAAAGAAACTGTTGGAGTAGAAGTGGCAGTGGCATTTAACTATTTCAACAGTCAAACGGTGGGACCTTAATGCCAATCTAGTAGCATGCTTAAATTCACGTATTTGGGGCACTAGGGAAAAAGTTCGTCAGAGCAGTTGCCATAAAATATATTTGTAGAAAAGACAGTGAGAAGCCATGACACGTCGGTGAGAAAGTGACTGAAGTCGAGATGCCAAAGCAGGACCTATTACATTGCAAATCATTTTGTCAAGAAACTCGAGATGAATAGTAGGTGTATATGGTAGCTTTGTAAATGTGCAAGATGGATACTGACGAGTGAAAACCAACTTTCCTTGCAATGGATGCATCTATTGATTCAATGTAGTTGTTCCACTTCAAGCCAAGAAGGCTCGTTGAGAAAAATTGTGGAGAGCCATGATCGCTAACGTCCTGAAGGGACACGGCACAAAAAAGATGATAATATCTCGTATTGTCAAAGGCTGATTGTCACCTGAAGGGGGCCTGAAAAAAGTTACATAAGACTTTTTAAAAGATTTCTAGGATACTTTCTGGTGTGTGATTCACGATATATTTATTTAGTCACAATAAAGACACACACTGTTTTATTCTTTTGAAATGTAAAAAATAATTCATTATCAATATTTTTTAATGAAGATTACCTGAAACATTTTGATATACGAATATTAAGTCGAAATTGAAACAATACTTTCTTGCCAAATCTGTGTGGTTCACCCACAAATTTCATGATCGCTTTCAGCTTGCCTCACAACCCAAGTCCGTTGACGTGTGTATATAAGTGAACCGAATAAAAATTCCAATGTGTAATCAGTCGTGTTTGTAGGCCTATAAATGTCGTCCGTGCTCGGATCTCTCGTCCTCTGCCGACAAGCCTTATGCCAAGGACTTTATTCAATTGTATCAAAACCCTTAACGTTGGTGCCCACTTCAATCCAATCCGATTTCCACTGATATTTCTTTATAATGAAGTTTCAAAGCGAAGCGTGACACTTTCCAACAGCCAATCCTTCCCGATGGACAAAGGGATTTCGCTTCTTATCCTTTCTTTCTTGGCGATTTTAATTGCTTCTTTTTTTCTTTTCGTTTTACTTTTCTTTTTTATTTCGGTTTTTCTTTTATATTTCTTCATTCTTGGTCTGTAATATTTCATCTTTTCTCTTTCGCCTTTTCTTTCTCGCGTTCATTCTTTCTCTCTCTTCTTTTCTTTCAGATATTATTTTATTCTCACTTAAAAAAAAAACTTCCTTCTTTTTTCTTTTACTTTCTTTCCATCTTTCTTTTTTTTTGTTTTTCATAATTTTTCATTCACCTTTTTATTTGTATTTTTTCTTGTTTCGAATTTTTCATGCTTTTAAATTTTAATGTTTTCTTTCTTTCTTTTTTACTGTCTTTCTGTTCTTTCGTTTTATTCTGTCATTGTTTCTTTCTTTCTTTCTTTCTTTCTTTTTTACTGTCTTTCTGTTCTTTCGTTTTATTCTGTCATTGTTTGTTTGTTTGTTTGTTTGTTTGTTTCTTTCTTTCTTTCTTCCTTTCTTTCTTAATCCTTTGTATATTTTTGTCATTTACCTTCTTTTCACTCTCTCTATTTCCCTCTACTTCCCTCTACTTTTCACTTACATTTTTCTTTCTTTCTTTCTTTCTTTCTTTCTTTCTTTCTTTCTTTCTTTCTTTCCCTTTCCTTCCCTTTAGTGCATTACGCTAATAGAAGGCGCTGAGACACGGACAGACTGTTATGGTTTATAAACGCACAGAATTTAGCGCTTTATTAAGAAAATAAAAAAGAATATATTTTCGCAAGGAACACATATGAAAATAATGAATTAAAGGCGAAGACAAGAAACGTAGGAAATATGTCGAGGGAAATATGGCAGAGACAGTCACTTAATTGGACGAGCGTCGTCTGTGGAACTATATATATATATATATATATATATATATATATATATATATATATATATATATATATAACTGTGCAGGCATTTATATTAAAAGAAACTGTAACTGAAAATATATGCTTAACTTAAAGAGAATATTGAAATATTGAAAGAAGAAATAAATTTAAAAAAGAAAAGATTTTACATTTGAAAAGGTGGAATTGATTGCAATTGATAATAGGGCTAATTTTATTCTGTCTCTTTCGTCTCTTCATATTGCATCATTGCATCAGATGTTATCGACCTCTAACCCCAAATGAAAGAACGTGTTCAAATTATCACGTAATAAATTATGTTGCTGTTTATCTATAAGTTGTTGTGTGGTGGCAATTTTAATGAGTTGTATCATTCAGTCATAAGAAAAGATTTCGAAAGTCTATTCTCGACACTCGTACATCCATACATCTTGAATTGCACAATTGCCTCATATTCTATAGCAATACTATAAGGTACACGAACTTGTCATTGAAACCTGTTTGAACTATTGTTCACTCGATACAAGCCTCAAACGAGGGTTATTGAATGAGGTTGTTATAAGGGCGTAAAAGGAGGAATTAAGGAAAGCATATTGAATCAGATGTTGTATACTTTCATTAAAATTTGATCTTTTTTGTACTCTTCACCCAATACAGGAGCCACTCAAGGTAGAGGGTTATTGAATCTGGTTGTTGTAAGGGCATAAAAGGAGGAATTAAGGAAAGCATATGTTGTATACAGTGTGTAAAAGAGGAAGTGTGTGATAGAAGACGTATGATCCTAGATTTGAAGAGGTTAAAATCGTAGTGACTGGGGAAACATCCCCACGGGTGCCTGTGTCAAAAAGTAATAGATAGATAGATAGATAGATAGATAGATAGATAGATAGATAGATAGATAGATAGATAGATTGAGAAAGAAAAGAAGAAAGAAAGAAATAGAAGGAGAGGTGTAATGAATGAAAATGAAACTGATAAAATAAATAAAGCTGTAAATAGAATGAGGATGAGTTAATCCACGTGACATGGCGAATCCTAACTGTGAAACTCTGAAGAAAAAGAACAAAGTAATGTAACTTGTCTGAATATTTGATATGAAAACAATGGTTGCGATAGGCACAGAAATGTTTTGCTTGTGGGGGAAAAGATTGTAGGGTATAAAAAAATTCATCACCCACCAGGCCGCTTAAACGATTTTGAACATTGTCAAGGCTGGACAGCGGGGATTAGACAGTACCATCCCGATATGTCAACAATACTCCATTTCTAATCTGATTTGACTCTTGTGAAGAAAGAACCTGGTAAGAGACATCAGATACTTTCTGGAATGGTGCAAGGAACCGACCATTTTTGCAGCATCTTCAGCAATGGATCATATATATGTGTTCCACTTGCGATTTGGGGTAAACTTAAGCCTCAAGAGACTTTCAAAGGAAGGAGACTCATTGCGAGTACAATCGTTCACCATGACTGGAGAATGTTCAGGAGTGCTCGGTCATGATGGAACATTACTAACTTGTCTTTTGGGGACATTGAAGAAAGTATGTGATTTTATTTCTGGAGTTGTATACATACATGCATATATATACATACATGTATATATATTAAGAAATGGACAAGGTCCGACAATTTATTTATTAAAGACATTTTTATGTTTAACGTTGTTATTTATAGATACAAGTATTTAAGCAAATGCTCTGTTTATGATAAACAGTATTAAATAACATTTACTGGCCTGAATGTCCGAGAAATTTTCATAGAAAAGAACGAATATTTTCAAATGTCAAAGAACGAATATTTTCTATGAAAATTTCTCGGACATTCAGGCCGGTAAATGTTATTTAATACTGTTTATCATAAACAGAGCATTTGCTTAAATACTTGTATCTATAAATAACAACGTTAAACATAAAAATGTCTTTAATAAATACATGTATATATATATATATATAGGGTTCCCCCTCCCCCAAAATTGAAATCCTTTTGTAGTCTAATTAGATAGAGAATTCTCGCCCAAATAGCCTCACATTGAAACAAAAAAGTTGACTCTGTGGACTTATGAGAATCTACCAGGAAGATGGATCGGGCGTGCCAGTGATAATGACAATGAAATGGTCACCACGTTCGCCTGATTTGAAACCTTGTGATTTTTTCTGTGGTCCTATGAGAAAGTACAGATCTATATGTCCTCTATTCCTACAAGCTTAGAGGAACTTAAATAGAGAATCACTGAGGCGTTGGGGAATGTCACGCAAGACATGCTACAGCGTGTTTGGCAGCTGCTGGACTACTGTCTTGACGTGTGTCGTGTCACATTCAATGCCTCGAAAACCAAGCTAGTTACATTCCATCATCACCGATCTGACCCCGAACTTCCACTAATAAGGATGAACGGGGTCCTCTTGGGTAAGCACCCTGCCTTTGGGCCTCAAACTCGGTTCGGCAATGTTGTTCGAGAACCGAAATTTTGTTCGCTAACCGAGGCATTTTCATCTTTAATTTTCTATTCGAAAACCAATTTATTCGACATGTGAGACGTTCGAGAACCGAGGTTGCTCTGTATTAACTTTTAATCTGTTCATATACAGGGTGGCCTAATTGATATCATTTTATAGTCTAATAACATAACCAATTTTTTTCTCAAATTTTAACAAAAGGATTTATCTCAATGTGCTGTTGAAATGGCTGGTGCTGGAGAATGTTACGCAAGACATACTACAACGTATTTGGCAGGAGCTGGACTATCGACATGATGAGTGCCGTATCACAGATAGTAGGCATGTGGAACATCACTGAAGTTTTGTGAAATCGGCTATAAGATCTAGAACCATTTGAATGTCTTGTTCGAATTTCCAGAAATAAATCTTTTATTATTCAACATGAAGCTTATTTAATTTCGTTTGCCTGGAACATTTAGTTACACAGATATTCACATTTTAAACGATGTCAATTTGGTTTTTTTGTGGGGGGGGATTTTTCTGTAGATCCAAGCGTGTGTTTGTAATGTAAATGTAAATACGCGTGTGAGTGTGCGTCTGTAATGTAAGTAATGGTAGAGACATGAAATTGGAAAAAAAAATTGACCCAGTTTGAAAAAAAAAAAGTTTTGTATATAAAACTTGCGTGTTCCACCTAAAAATCTTTTAACAAGAGAGAGGAGAAACGGGTGGGATTGAGGTTTAAAATAGATCTTGTCGGGAAATGTTTTAAATAGTGATGATGGCATGGAAATTGCCAATGTGGTGATCTTTAATATTTCTCTAGAAGTTCAAACACACACATATATATATATATATATATATAGTAATCCTGTTTTACAGCTCATCAGTGTGGCTAGACAAAGATAGACTGTTTCGCTGTTTCACAGCTCATCAGTGTGGCTAGACATCCGATTACCTCAAGCCGGGATCGAAACCCGACTGATTTGGTATCACTCAGAGAATCTAGCCCTAAACCATTGGCGCACGGCAGCGATGAAGATGAATTTAAACGTATTTATTTTTAAATAAGCACATCAATGGCTTGGAGAACTCGATTCGTTTTATATATATATATATATATATATATATATATATATATATATATATATATATATATATATATATATATATATATGCACCTGTATAGTTATACATACACACACATATATGCCTACTGGTTGCCGATCGAAAGTCTTGCTCAATAGAATATGCCTCCCGAAAAGAATTTAATCTGTATTCTCTTTATAATTAAGGAGACCACATTCAAATCAAGCGTTCTTTATTGTTCAGTTATGGAAAAGCATCACAGCTAAGCAAGGCTGAACGAGAGAAGGACATTTCTTAAGAAATGTGCTTCTCTCATTGGAAGATTTCAAAGTTTTATGTATTTATGTACAGTGAAATTGATGTGAAAAAAAAGCCAGGCTTGTTTGCTCCAACAAGTCTTCTCAATAAACATGGCACTTAAGACAATGTCAGATTAGAGTATCCATTAAAGGCTTTAAAAATACTTCGTTTTACGTTTTAGATAGGATAGATATAAATAGTAGATATAGACTTCCAAACGTTCTAACAAGTTTTATTATTGCAACCATGTAGGTTATTTCTAGTCTTGTGGTTTCTTGATTTTTGCACATTTGAATTCCACATTTGCTTTTGCGACAACTAAATTACATATTTTCTAACATTTTCTAACATGTCAATATATGACTTTAAAAACAACCTGCTTAAATATCTCGCTACATTGATTATTATGACGCCGATTACGAGTTATCTCGTGCCAACAACGAGTTTATTCACAGTGATACGTTTAATGTGAAAAAAAATATTAAGTTGAAGCTATTAATAAATTCATAATTTTTATTATTGCCTAAATTGGCATTTGAAACCAGATTTCATAATAGAAATAATTATGTACACTATTTACATTATTCGGATTATTATCCTCGTCTTTGTCGCCATATTTATTACAACGTTTCGGCCGTTGTACGCTCCGGACTTCTTCATGTGGTTGGAATGTCAAACTGAACCCTTTATTTCGCTCACTGGGGTAGACTGTTCTAGTTCCACGTGCCGTGTTTAATGAATGTCAGTTATCAGTTATCGCCTGTTAATTCCCCTCTCCAAATTCTCCACTGCCTTAACCGGGTATTGGACTCACACACTTTGGGTCCTGTCACTGGATCTAACTAACGCCTTTATCCACTGTGCCATGTGTCTTTTATGATGCATGTTACAGCGAGCGAAATAAAGGGTTTAGTTCGACATTCCAACCACCTGAAGAAGATTTGAGCGTACAACGGTCTATTTATTTGTTTACGGTAAGGTTCACTCTGTACAAGGCTCGGAGGCCACTCGAGGTAGAAGGTTAAAATAGGAGACAGTGCGGATAGGAGAGGAAGGTAAGCGTTACACCGAGAATTGAACAGATTAAGATTGTAGTGATCGGGGAAACATCCTCTTGGAAGTTGGTTCCATAGGGTAGCGGTTCACGGGAAGAAGCTGTTCGAGTGGAACTTATTTCTCACCGATGGAATACGGAAGGAATGTGGGTGGTTTGCTGCAATGTAAGTGGCATGGCGAGTCCATGCCGAGACGGTTACGTCTGGCAGCGCCAAGGAATCTTGCTCATCCTTGCACTTTCCGTGAAAGTAGTGATATAGCAGCGAGAGGCTTGCCACATACTGCTTTTCTGTGTGTGTGTTTGTGTGTGAGAGAGAGAGAAAGAGAGAGAGGGAGGGAGGGGCTGGAGGGTAGAGAACATATCGTCACCCACAAGGACTCAGAGACGCTTTTGGACTCTATCAAAGCTGGAGAGTGAGGTCAGTGCAGCTCCCGCCCAAATAAGACATCAGTACCCCAAGCTTGGCCAATTCTGGCTCTTGTATTTCCCCGAATGTGCGGCACTAAAATGAGGCTACGTTTTATATGTCAGTCAAATACCGTGTTTTTCCTGTTTACGTACAAGAGACAATGTGCTTAATATAGAAACTGCAATCGTTAAATAACTACGATATAGGAGCCGGTAATAACGAAAGAAAAAGATCTGACAGCAAATCTTCAACGACAGCAGCTGCTGTAACAAAAAGAGAAAAACTTCAGAGCTAATATAGTCATAGTAACTGTGATTTCATTCCCTGGGCGGGGTAATGTGTACTTGAACTCAGTGGAAAAACGGGTGAGCAGAGTAAAAATAAGAACTAGGCGGACAATGGAAACCGTAGATTAAATAAAGTGTTCTGTTCGGAATTCCCTGTAGTTTACACGAATCGACATACAGCAGGCAATACGTTCTGATAGCAACAACAAAGATGAGGACCTTAGCTAAAAAAGATGATATTTCATATATATATATATATATATATATATATATATATATATATATGGCCTGACGATAGCGTCTAGTATGAAACAGCCTGTCGCCTCTAAGTGTTGACTTCAATGTTCACTTTTATATTTATATTTACACACGCTGTATCTCTGATATTGAGCACTTTATCCCATACCTATAGCACACCTTAAGAGTATATTTCTTCATATATATATATATATATATATATATATATATATACTAGGGCATCTGGAATTCCTAAGAACAAAGAAGATAAATCAATTTTTAAAAAATAAATAATTTTTTAGCTCCATAAGAAGTAAATTAAAAAAATGCTGCTAATTGTGGGATATCATCTATGTGCCACATTCTTTCAGGACATGAGTAATTATGGTCCTCCATAGCTTCTCATCTTTTGTAGCTTAATTAACTTTGTACGTTTACGATCCCCCTTTTCTTTGTGTAGCCATCCATTCACACAAACTGGTTAAATAGATTACTCGCTATTTACCAGCTTTCTAACCACTATACTACGCACTTATCTGTTTTTCTTTTTATGAAAGATGTATTAATGAAACACTGTTGCCTAAATTCTTAATACATATATACATAGATGCATATATATTTCTTATTACACTAAACGTTATTTTAGCGGGTGAACTATCTCTGTTTATTTACAAAGATATTAGCATCTACCGGCCTAGAACATTAAGAAAGAAAAAGAAATAGAAGATCGACATGAATCAATAAAAAAGGTAAAATAAAACTGAGTTAGAATAAAACGAATGAATGAACGGAAGCAAATGAAGAAGATAAGGTAAGTAAAAGATGAAAAAAGATTGATTGGAAAAAGCAAATTGGATAAAATAGTAAGGAAGAGAAAGAGAGAGAGAGTGGGGGGAGATGGGAGGGGCGAGAATGAAAATGAAATTGATAACAAAAACAAAGAAAAAGAAAAGACAAATGGGAGGTAAACAGTGTAAATAGATTAAGAGATAAAAAGGAATGAATGCGTGAGTAGAAAGAAGGAAGAAAAAAGAAACAAAAGAAAAGAAAAAGAAAGAAAGAAAGAAAGAAAGAAATCATAAAAGGAAAATGGGGCAAAGATTTGAAAATAGGGTAGAAACAATGTGGACAGATAAAGAAAATAGTCACAAATGTGAAATAACAAGTAAATACAAAGGAAGGAAGGAAGGAAGGAAGAAAGAAAGAAAGAAAGAAAGAAAGAAAGAAAGAAAGAAAGGAAGGAAGGAAGGAAGGAAGGAAGGGAGAAAGATAGAGATAATGAAAGGAAAATAAATGGTAATCAATGTAGCCTAGAAAGAAAGAAAGAAAGAAAGAAAGAAAGAAAGAAAGAAAGAAAGAAAGTATACAGAAAATATTGGCAAAGGAATGAATAAAAAAAAAGGAAGCTAAAACAATAAAAGAAAGAAACAAACAAACAAAAGAAGGAAAATAAGAGATAAACAAATGTATTCAGAGCAAAAAGCAAAAAGAAAAATATGAATGCAAAAATATAAGAAAGGGAGAATGAAAGAAAGGATATGGTAAGAACGGAATGGTGGATGGATGAACAGGCATGATGTCTCTAAATATCTTGTCAGCCATATTTGTTGATATTGCTTTTCTGATGTATCAGAATTGCTTGTCTATTGACATTTCGGAAAGGTTTTGTCCCTGAAATAGCAGAAAAATTAATGAAACCTTAGCGACTCGTTGTTATCGACGTCCTTTTCCCAGAATTCCCACCATCACCTCCATGTGTTATCTTCTCGTGTAAAATGATTGATGACAATTTTGATGAGACTTTATTTTCTCTGCTTGTTTTTCTTTTGTAGTTTTGACCGAAACGTCTCGGTAGAATTGAAGTACGAGGAAATATTCTGTAGGAAAATAAATAGAAAAAAACAAAAAAAAAAAAAAACGAAAAGAGAAAAATCTGTTAGCCCCCATCGTAAACATGAAAGAAAGAGGACAAATAAAGAAGTAGGGATTTTTGTTGGGTGGGGAGAAATTATTCGACATTTTTTCTGGGGGATCAGTTTTTTCAAAAAAACATTTATATTACTAAAGGGGTTTATTTTTTTTTTTATTTACGTTTATTTCTTTATTTTGTTTTCGCAAATGTTTACTGAAAAAGGCTTTGTTTATTTTTATATATATTTGCAATTAATTGCAATTAATTTTTTATTTGCATATATTTGCTTGCTTTTTATTATTTATTTAAAGATCAATTTTAGTTAATTTTCTTCTAAAAAATTATACATATATCGATGTATATAGTTTATTATATATATATAATATATATATATATATATATATATATATATATATATATATATATATACATATACATATATACATACATATATATATATATATATATATATATATATATATATATATAATATGTAAATATCATAAACTAGACAGTATATATCAATTTTATTTATTTATTTAGAGGTTTCCCTAATTTTTATAAATTTTCTTGCTACTTACATCGATCAGTTTATATTTTGTTACAATTTTTTAAAAAATGTTTCGCTTTAAATTTGATTACATTTTTTTTTGTTTAGTTGATCTAATTTTTCATATCTGCTTTTCCTCCATTAATTTTTCTAATGCAAGAAAAGGAAAGTTTCTTCAAAAATATTTTTGTGGCTGTTGTATTTAATGTGGCGCGTTTTTGCGAATGTCAAACATTCAGGCGGAAATTTATGTCCTCACCCCATCAAACCCACTCCTTAGTAAGAGTCGATATGTACGCGAAAACACATATGCGTGCTAATATGCATGTCTACATTAAAATATTTTCGAATATTTATTTATGCTAAGAATAGTAATGGCGGCTGAAACATCAAACTTCTTTACTATTGGTTGAGAATTACAATAATTAATTGAAAGCAGACAGCTCAATAAATAGGCGCGACATTTTTGGAAATCTTTATTTTTTATCAAATCTACGACTAAATTTTCAAAAAGTTTAACAAGTATTTTTTTAAAAGTGATATTAACATGAATAAATTGGCGTTATTTTGTGTTCATTGTTGTCGGTCTCATCTTTCTTGTTTTAACATAACTTTAAAGCACAAATAATTTTTCTTCTTCTTCTTCTTCTTCTTCTTCTTCCCTTCAGGACGTGGACGATGAGGGCTCTCCACAATGTCCTATCCTTTAGAGCTGTTAGTAAATTTTGTCTTTTCGCTATCACTTCTAATTCCGATTCTAATCCCATTTACTCAAGCTCTTTAGAGAATTTGTGCGTTGTGTTCCTCTATCTCTCATGCCTTCAACATGTCCTGTGGGTGTTACATTTTCCAAGCCCTCTTTCCCCAATATGTACTCTAGAAGTTTCATCTGTCTCTTCCTGATGTTAAGTATAAGAACCCTTTTTTGATTCAATTTCTTCTAAAACTTCATCGTTGCTCATATGGTATTTTCAACATCCTTCTGCAGAACCCCATTTCTCTTGCTTCAAGCCTCTTCTTCATCTGTGAGACAATGTCCAGCATTCATAGTCATATCAGAAGACTGATATTACATAACAGTTCTCTTTTCTTTGTTTCCATCAAGATTTTGCAGTTTTCGCTATCATTAAATTTCGTAGATATTTAAGTTTTTTGTACTTGTTTGATTGACATGTTGGGCTGTTTCGTTTGTCTTCTTGCAGTTCATCGAATCATCTCTGATCTGTTTAAATTGAAAATAGATTGATTTCTAATACGGATGACTTAAAGTTGCATTATTCAGTATCAACGATAGTTTCAGCAGTTTTATCCAGTTTCCTTGTACATTTTTATATTCATAATCCATCTCTCTCTCTCTCTCTCTCTCTCTCTCTCTCTCTCACATACACACATACACACGTACATGTACATGTACGCACACGTACACATGGGCGCACAGACGCAACGTACGTGCATATACACACTCTCTCACACACGTCCGCACAGTTACACACACACACACACACACACACACACACACACACACACACACACACACACACACACACACACACACACACAGTATATTAGCTGAAAATTAGCCAGTGATCTTAAAGTTCCCATTTGTTTAATATATGTAGATCGATTTCTGATGCTATGCTGTGTACTCGGCCTTTTTGGGAGGAAAGATCCATTCTTCGTCCTGCGGTTTATTTAACATGAGATGTAATGTCGCAAGCCTATCGCTACTCTATCGTAATTTCCTTTGCAATTGTAGAGATTCTTTAGTTCCACCAGTTCAGACCTTTGCAGTTAGGATACGAGATACTTCTTCCACGGAGTCGAATCACCCTCATTTCCTACTTGTTCCAGTCCCAAGAACTACTTTGTGAAACAGACTCCCACGTGGATGCTCCCTGTAAACTACAAACAGAAACTCTTTAAGTCAAAGGGGTCCATTATCTATCCTCCTTACACTCATAATTTTACCACCTCTTCTTTTATTCGTATCACGCACCTTACTTCTCATTATAATTTTAATAGTCACTCTGTTTTGAGCGTCTCTCGAGCCTTTCACTGAGTGGACTTTAAGATGAAAAAATCGATGCAGACAAAATTCCATCGCTTAATACAAACATGACACGTTTGAAGCGGATCAAATTTGACACAAGTCCTCAGTTGGTCACACCCATCAGTGCATATTGTCCGTCTTCCACGAGGTGAGTGACTTATTCCCACCTGAAAGGCTCTCTTGAACGACATTTCAGCAGCAGCTTTTGATAATATTACCTTTACCAAATATCGTTCATATGATTCGACCTTTTTCGAATTTAAATCTTTTTCATAGATTAAAATTGATTTTATTCGTTGCTATGATAGACGATCCAGAATGAATATTTGTTCTTGAAGAAAAATCCACATGGGACATTCTTATTCCTACCACCCCTTTCTACGAAATTTTCTTCAATCATACAAACATTTTAGAACAAAACGTTTCATTACAGAAAAATATAAACATCGTAAAAATACTATCACCCCACATTTTTTTTATTCTAATCACCTTGTATGTTTGAAACACACACGCACGCACGCACACACACAAACCCTCCCCATATATATATATCCAATTGGATCCTAGTAATATAAAATATTAAAAATGATCTACAAAATATTTATTAAATATATTTTACTTTTAAGTATAATTTATATTTGGAAGAGTATTTCTTAAGTAGGAACTTGTATTTTTAAACTTAACTTCATCTATATAATTTTAATAAAAAAAAAAGAAACTTTTCGATCCTCTCTTAGTTTCAAATTAATACTTCATTTAACCCCAATTCAATGTCATAAAGTTAATATCCGAGTTTAATTTTATAAAATCTTTTCCCTTTAAGGCTAATACCTTTCACCCTCCTCTGATCACTGTCTCATGCCTTTCGTCTGACTGCAACATTGAAATTGAAATGGATAAATTCTGTATTAATTTTTCGACAGCCGTCATAGTTAAATTTGTAATTCCGACAAGAACTCAGTCTATATCACCGGGGTTGAATAAGACCGATGAAGTTTTCGTCGGTTGAAATATATCTATACCCAATATAAGGTAATTTTAGGTTTTATGCTTTACTACTACTACTATATATATATATATATATATATATATATATATATATATATATATATATATATATATATAGAGATAATGATATATATTTTTATATATCAAGAACAATATTGAGAAAAAATGTATGATAAAAAATAAAAAAAGTTTTTCGTGTGATGAGTTTTGACTTTTAGGATTTCATCAGACTAAATTTGTTATGTTGATCCAACTACAAATGCGGACGAACGAGGGAGTCTAGGAATTTTAATTAAAAATTAAAAAAAAAAGAAATTGTTTTTAATCTAATCGATTTGATTTATATTCTTTTACTTTCAATCACTTTTTTTTTATTAGAAATCACATATTGTGATAATAGAAGTTCTGCCAGGAATGGTGAAATATTGTAAGAGCCTGGGTGCAAATTTACTGTAGAAATAACTTGATCGCAAGTAAACTAGACACTCGTTCTTGCAGACAGCTGCTCAGGCACATTTGTGCTTGTTCAACACCCACGGGAGCCTACCTGCAACTATGTTGAGTGGACCTTAGTTACAGTTTCTGGGAGAGAGCGCGTGATTTGCGTGATCAACAGTCTGAACAAGGCCAGCACGTTCAAGCCCTCAGTCACGATGACTTGTGACTTCATACTAGAAAAAAAAAAAAATCAACGGCTATCAATATGTTCCGTCTATCCAATTTTACTAACAAGGCTTGGGTCGACCTGTGGTATTGTTTTCAGTCACATTCCAAAGGCACGTTAGGATCACCTCCCCCAGATCGATAACATTAAGAAGACACTTTCTTGATAAATCGACCATGGTGACAATCGAATTCAGGCCTCATGATCAGAAAGCTAATGTTTTAACTTATATATTTCAACTTAAATAGCCATTTTGTTTCAACACCCTCGGTGTCTTATCAAGTGATGATGTTGAAGATAAAATAAATGGTTTTAAAAGTTTCAAATTAATTAACGATCCTATACTAGGGGGAAACATTGTTACAAAAGCTAGAATAACCAATCAAAAACCAAGTATAGAAAGATTCAAAAGCTTGACAACGAAATCATGTTATAATAGCTATTCAGATCTTTAAAATACGGGTTATATTAAAAATAATTTATACTAACCAATAATTATAAAATTATATGATAAAATTTAATATTAAAATTAAAAACTGGCAATTTTAAAATCCGAATTTAATCACTATAAGTTTAAAAACTACAAAATTATTGAGAAAGGAAAAAATACATATGTTATTCAATTTATTTCTTCGTTGAAATTACGTTCGACAAGACGCTACAATATATCCGGTCATTTGACAATACATGTATATATATATTATTCTAAAGTGTGTGAATGTGGTCTTAAACTCACGCGCAAAACAAAAAAAACACAATCAGATTATAATACATAAGCACCCAGACATATTTAGATATATATATATATACACACACACACAAAAAGGCGACGAGA